TGTCCTGTCAATTAAGCAGCCAGTCTCTACTGCTGCTAATGGAGGCCTTCGCCAACACTCGCCAATTACGCACTCCACAAAGTCTCCGCCACGAGAGCAGCTCAGTGTACAGCAGGAGCTTTTAAAGACTTCCACATCTCCAGCTCACTGCTGCATGACTGCAGCTTCATATCGTCGCTGTCCAGTGAAAAACAAGTATCTCCAAAATCTTAACTTTACAGGAGAGGCAAAAACACTCTCACCTTTCAATGAAAGTCAATGTAAAACGATTTTGTTCCAGAGTGATTTTAAAGCATTTCTATTGGTCCATTCATCACGAAATTTTCACACAATGTAAAGGGACAGCTGGTGTTTTGAAAGGATGTAGAAAACTAAAAATCAACAAAAAATGGACATACATGGTTTCAATTGGACAGCGACGACATGTAAGCCTGACCGTAGCAGTGAAAACACCTACCAGATCTAAAAACAATCGGGATGATATTTTATTGTTAAAAAATCAGGATTATCAATAATATCGCCCTCACAGATGGTTCGCCGCAGCTTAGACCTACCGTCTCTGCTACCTTTAGCTTATTAGCTTCTTAATGTTAACTGATTTCATGAAAATCTTAAATGAAATTCACATATTAATTAACATAATTAACATAATGATGAACAATACATTTGAAAGCTGACTTCTCGTTCTGAAAGTTGACTGCCAACATGTGCACCCGTGTTTCTTCCCTTTAAACGATGCACACAAAAGTGACTTGCGTGCTAACGGCGCCCCTGCTGGAGAAACTCAGGACTTAAATGCAACAACATGTTTGAGGAGAAAACGTTCACAGCAGAGAAATATCTTTTCATTGTTTTTGGTTCTAGCTAACGCCTGCCAGAGTAGTAGCCTAGATACAGCCACATCTCGGCCTTCTCAGTCATGTCTTTACTAACAGATCCTTAACAAAAACCCTCAAGAACCTCAACAACCTCTCTATGTATCCTCATAAGCCTGTGTTTCACAATGGATCCCTAACAATGAGTCCTGAATGGTGCATCATTAAAAATCTGTCCTCAAAAACCTGTTTTAAATAATGTGTCCTCAAAAAACAGTCCTTAACAATGCACCTTTAATAATTGATCCTCAAAAACTAGTCTTTAACAATGTGTCCTCAAAAAACTAGTCTTTAACAATGTGTCCTCAAAAACTTGTCTTTAACAATGTGTCCTCAAAACAACTAGTCTTTAACAATGTGTCCTCAAAAACTTGTCTTTAACAATGTGTCCTCAAAACTAGTCTTTAACAATGTGTCCTCAAAAACTAGTCTTTAACAATGTGTCCTCAAAAAACTAGTCTTTAACAATGTGTCCTCAAAAACTAGTCTTTAACAATGTGTCCTCAAAACCTAGTCTTTAACAATGTGTCCTCAAAAACCTAGTCTTTAACAATGTGTCCTCAAAAACTAGTCTTTAACAATGTGTCCTCAAAAACTAGTCTTTAATAATGTGTCCTCAAAACCTAGTCTTTAGCAATGTGTCCTCAAAAACTTGTCTTTAACAATGTGTCCTCAAAAACTTGTCTCTAACAATGTGTCCTCAAAAACCTAGTCTTTAACAATGTGTCCTCAAAAACTAGTCTGTAACAATGTGTCCTCAAAAACTAGTCTGTAACAATGTGTCCTCAAAAACTAGTCTTTAACAATGTGTCCTCAAAAACTAGTCTTTAACAATGTGTCCTCAAAACCTAGTCTTTAACAATGTGTCCTCAAAACCTAGTCTTTAACAATGTGTCCTCAAAAACTAGTCTTTAACAATGTGTCCTCAAAACCTAGTCTTTAACAATGTGTCCTCAAAACCTAGTCTTTAACAATGTGTCCTCAAAAACTTGTCTTTAACAATGTGTCCTCAAAACCTAGTCTTTAACAATGTGTCCTCAAAAACTTGTCTTTAACAATGTGTCCTCAAAAACTAGTCTTTAACAATGTGTCCTCATAACCTAGTCTTTAACAATGTGTCCTCAAAAACTAGTCTTTAACAATGTGTCCTCAAAAAACTAGTCTTTAACAATGTGTCCTCAAAAACCTAGTCTTTAACAATGTGTCCTCATAACCTAGTCTTTAACAATGTGTCCTCAAAACTAGTCTTTAACAATGTGTCCTCAAAAACTAGTCTTTAACAATGTGTCCTCAAAAACTAGTCTTTAACAATGTGTCCTCAAAAAACTAGTCTTTAACAATGTGTCCTCAAAACCTAGTCTTTAACAATGTGTCCTCAAAAACTAGTCTTTAACAATGTGTCCTCAAAAACTAGTCTTTAACAATGTGTCCTCAAAACCTAGTCTTTAACAATGTGTCCTCAAAAACTAGTCTTTAACAATGTGTCCTCAAAAACCTAGTCTTTAACAATGTGTCCTCAAAAACCTAGTCTTTAACAATGTGTCCTCAAAAACTAGTCTTTAACAACGTGTCCTCAAAAACTAGTCTTTAATAATGTGTCCTCAAAACCTAGTCTTTAGCAATGTGTCCTCAAAAACTTGTCTTTAACAATGTGTCCTCAAAAACTAGTCTTTAACAATGTGTCCTCAAAAAACCAGTCTTTAACAATGTGTCCTCAAAACCTAGTCTTTAACAATGTGTCCTCAAAAACCTAGTCTTTAACAATGTGTCCTCATAACCTAGTCTTTAACAATGTGTCCTCAAAACCTAGCCTTTAACAATGTGTCCTCAAAAACCTAGTCTTTAACAATGTGTCCTCATAACCTAGTCTTTAACAATGTGTCCTCAAAAACTAGTCTTTAACAATGTGTCCTCAAAAACTAGTCTTTAACAATGTGTCCTCATAACCTAGTCTTTAACAATGTGTCCTCAAAAACTAGTCTTCAACAATGTGTCCTCAAAAACTAGTCTTTAACAATGTGTCCTCAAAAAACTTGTCTTTAACAATGTGTCCTCAAAAACCTAGTCTTTAACAATGTGTCCTCAAAACCTAGTCTTTAACAATGTGTCCTCAAAACCTAGTCTTTAACAATGTGTCCTCAAAAACTAGTCTTTAACAATGTGTCCTCATAACCTAGTCTTTAATAATGTGTCCTCAAAAACTAGTCTTTAACAATGTGTCCTCATAACCTAGTCTTTAACAATGTGTCCTCAAAAACCTGTCTTTAACAATGTGTCCTCAAAAACTAGTCTTCAACAATGTGTCCTCAAAAACTAGTCTTTAACAATGTGTCCTCAAAAAACTTGTCTTTAACAATGTGTCCTCAAAAACCTAGTCTTTAACAATGTGTCCTCAAAACCTAGTCTTTAACAATGTGTCCTCAAAAACTAGTCTTTAACAATGTGTCCTCAAAAACTAGTCTTTAACAATGTGTCCTCATAACCTAGTCTTTAACAATGTGTCCTCATAACCTAGTCTTTAACAATGTGTCCTCATAACCTAGTCTTTAACAATGTGTCCTCAAAAACTAGTCTTTAACAATGTGTCCTCAAAAACTAGTCTTTAACAATGTGTCCTCATAACCTAGTCTTTAACAATGTGTCCTCAAAAACTAGTCTTCAACAATGTGTCCTCAAAAACTAGTCTTTAACAATGTGTCCTCAAAAAACTTGTCTTTAACAATGTGTCCTCAAAAACTTGTCTTTAACAATGTGTCCTCAAAAACCTAGTCTTTAACAATGTGTCCTCAAAACCTAGTCTTTAACAATGTGTCCTCAAAAACTAGTCTTTAACAATGTGTCCTCATAACCTAGTCTTTAATAATGTGTCCTCAAAAACTAGTCTTTAACAATGTGTCCTCATAACCTAGTCTTTAACAATGTGTCCTCAAAAACCTGTCTTTAACAATGTGTCCTCAAAAACTAGTCTTCAACAATGTGTCCTCAAAAACTAGTCTTTAACAATGTGTCCTCAAAAACTTGTCTTTAACAATGTGTCCTCAAAAACCTAGTCTTTAACAATGTGTCCTCAAAACCTAGTCTTTAACAATGTGTCCTCAAAAACTAGTCTTTAACAATGTGTCCTCATAACCTAGTCTTTAACAATGTGTCCTCATAACCTAGTCTTTAACAATGTGTCCTCAAAAACTAGTCTTTAACAATGTGTCCTCAAAACCTAGTCTTTAACAATGTGTCCTCAAAAACCTGTCTTTAACAATGTGTCCTCAAAAACCTGTCTTTAACAATGTGTCCTCAAAAACTAGTCTTTAACAATGTGTCCTCAAAAACCTGTCTTTAACAATGTGTCCTCAAAAACCTGTCTTTAACAATGTGTCCTCAAAAACCTGTCTTTAACAATGTGTCCTCAAAAACCTGTCTTTAACAATGTGTCCTCAAAAACTGTCTTTAACAATGTGTCCTCAAAAACTAGTCTTTAACAATGTGTCCTCAAAAACTAGTCTTTAACAATGTGTCCTCAAAAACTAGTCTTTAACAATGTGTCCTCAAAAACTAGTCTTTAACAATGTGTCCTCATAACCTAGTCTTTAACAATGTGTCCTCATAACCTAGTCTTTAATAATGTGTCCTCAAAAACTAGTCTTTAACAATGTGTCCTCATAACCTAGTCTTTAACAATATGTCCTCAAAAACCTGTCTTTAACAATGTGTCCTCAAAAACCTGTCTTTAACAATGTGTCCTCAAAAACTAGTCTTTAACAATGTGTCCTCAAAAACTTGTCTTTAACAATGTGTCCTCAAAAACTTGTCTTTAACAATGTGTCCTCAAAACCTGTCCTTAATAACGCATCATTTTTCCACTATTTTCCATCATCAACATTCCATATAAGCTCAGAAGGCTCGTGTAGGTTCACTGGTGGTTCTGGATAGTAAATAAAATGTCTATATTTGTGTTGTAGTCATGGCGACCCCTGGTTCCTATCACCATCACTGTAAAGACATCTGAACCATTTCACAGCAAATCCCTTGGGATTCACACGCACCCTACATGGGATTAATCTGCACAGCTGCAGAACCTCGTATTTGACAGGCAGAACATCCGCAGGTAAAGAAATGCGAGCTGTTTACCTGCAGAGAGCGTCCAGTCTGCAGGTCTTGCGGAGCTGCAGGCAGTTGGGTTTGTTTTTGTCCTCGTAGGCGCAGCTGGGGACGATGGTCTGCCGGCGTCTCTCGGCGCAGGCCTTATCGCGGCAGGCGCAGAACAGCAGGCCGAAGGTGTACTGAGACTCCACGCGCTCCAGGAACTGCCGCAGGGCCTTGTGACATCGCTTCCTGTTACAGCCGTCCTGCTGCTGCTGACCCTGCTGACCCGTGACCCGCGTGCAGGTGCTGATGTAGGCCGAGCGCTGCCGCTTACAGTTATCGTTCAGGTTACAGGCTTTAGTGGCGTCCAGGCAGGGGTTACAATTACCGGGGCCTGAACACAGCGGCAGACGCATTCCTACACCTGCATAGATCTGCATACCTGCAGAGAGAGAGAGACAGGGAGAGAGGGAGAGAGAGAGAGGGGGAGAGAGAGAGAGAGAGAGAGAGAGAGAGAGAGAGAGAGAGAGATTTAAAACTATTACATTATTATTACTGTTATTACAGATAGAAAAGGATTACTACTATTTTTATTTTATTGTAAGAACTAGATGGATAGACAGACATACAGAAAGACAGATAGACAGACAGACAGACAGACAGATAGATAGATAGATAGATAGATAGATAGATAGATAGATAGATAGACAGTTCGATAGATAGATAGATAGATAGATAGACAGACAGACAGACAGACAGACAGACAGACAGATAGATAGATAGTTCGATAGATAGATAGATAGATAGACAGACAGACAGACAGACAGATAGATAGATAGATAGACAGATAGATAGACAGTTCGATAGATAGATAGATAGATAGATAGATAGATAGATAGACAGACAGACAGACAGATAGATAGATAGATAGATAGATAGATAGATAGATAGATAGATAGATAGATAGTTCGATAGATAGATAGACAGACAGACAGACAGACAGATAGTTCAATAGATAGATAGACAGACAGACAGAAAGACAGACAGAGACACAGATAGATAGACAGACAGACAGAAAGACAGACAGACAGACAGAAAGACAGACAGAGACACAGATAGATAGACAGACAGACAAACAGACTGATAGATAGATAGATAGATAGATAGATAGATAGATAGATAGATAGATAGACAGACAGACAGACAGACAGATAGATAGTTCAATAGATAGATAGATAGATAGATAGATAGATAGATAGATAGACAGACAGACAGACAGACAGACAGAGACACAGATAGATAGACAGACAAACAAACAGACTGATAGATAGATAGATAGATAGATAGATAGATAGATAGATAGATAGACAGATAGATAGATAGATAGATAGATAGATAGATAGATAGATAGATAGATAGATGGGCAGACAGACAGACAGACAGACAGATAGACAGATAGATAGATAGATAGATAGATAGATAGATAGACAGATAGATAGATTCAGGTGAGGCAGCACAGCCCAACACAAATATCGTCATGGTGACCCATAAGCCCTCTGCTCTGTGTGGCTTTGAGTCCACTGTGAACAAAGGCTGCCCTGTCGCAACCTGATCAGCTTTACGGGAGCAGATGGAGTTTTGTTGTCTTGGCACTTCCTTCACGCGTGAAACACGAGCAGTGCTCTAGTGTAGTGAGTTTCAGTGAAACAGAGCTGGAAAAACCCCTGACTCGACTCTACAGCCGAGCTTTCAGAGAGCCGAGTCACAGACCCCCTCCTCACTGCAAACACCCAGTACAGGGACATTTATTTCCCAGGCAGTCCAGCTCTGTAGATGCAGGTACGTCACAACACTGCAACCCTCTGAGGTCACTCACTCTCTATCTCAGTGATGATCCAGCTCAGAAATCCAGTTCAAACACTTCCTGAATCTGTAGAGTCGCCCTTTCCATTCCATCTTATCACGAGATCATACGACACTCACATCCGGAGTTATGGGCCTATGAAGAGGGGCTGAGATACACGTCATCTGCCTCTCACCGTGTGGAACTGGTGGATTAGTGTGTCCGTCTACATTCTGTGTGAAACTGACCAACAGACACTCAGGAAATCACTAAGGACTCTGAATGATTCTGTATTTATTTCAGAAATGTTTTTGTGTGTGTGTCCTTCTATAAGGTCGTGTGTAAAGTAAAAAATTAAAAATAGTTCTTATTTCTTTCTACATACACAAAGTCTGAGAGACATTTAACACTGCAGTTTAGTCCAGGACTAGGTTTGGGGCCCCAGGCCACACTGTTTGTTTCTGAAGGTCCACTCTCCTCGTAATGGGGTCACCAAAACAACATTAGTGTCAGTGAAATTCACTGCAAAGGTCTGGTGTCACAAAGAGAGAGAGAGAGAAAGAGAGAGAGAGACTACAGTACACTGCAGGCTGTGTGGTTTGAAGTTGAGCAGATGGTTCAGATCTCTGTGGACGTAATGCTGAGGAGCTGAGCTTGTAATTACTAATGAATAAAGCACTAATAATCTAAATGTCGGCTGTTTATTCCACTCAGCGGGAAAACCATGTTTGTGTAAATAAATATTCTTTAAACAGAGAGAGAGAGACAGAGAGAGAGAGATACAGAGAGAGAGAGAGAGAGAGAGAGAGAGATACAGAGAGAGAGAGAGACAGAGAGAGAGAGAGATACAGAGAGAGAGAGAGAGAGAGAGAGATACAGAGAGAGAGAGACAGAGAGAGAGATACAGAAAGAGAGAGAGAGACTACAGTAAACTCTGCAGGCCATGTGGGCTGAAGTTGAGCAGATGGTTCAGATCTCTGTGGACGTAACGCTGAGGAGCTGAGCTTGTAATTACTAATGAATAAAGCGCTAATAATCTAAATGTCGGCTGTTTATTCCACTCAGCGGGAAAACCATGTTTGTGTAAACAAATACCCTTTAAACAGAGAGAGAGAGAGAGAGAGAGAGAGAGAGTATTAGAGTGAGAACTAGAGAAAGACAGATAGAGAGAGAGAGAATGAGAGAGAGAGTGAGAAAGAGTATTAGAGTGAGAACTAGAGAGAAAGACAGATAGAGAGAGAGAGAGAGAGAGAGAGAGAGAGAGAGTATTAGAGTGAGAACTAGAGAGAAAGGCAGATAGAGAGAGAGAGAGAGAGAGAGAGAGAGAGAGTATTAGAGTGAGAACTAGAGAGAAAGACAGATAAAGAGAGAGAGAGTGAGAGTATTAGAGTGAGAACTAGAGAGAAAGGCAGATAGAGAGAGAGAGAGAGTATTAGAGTGAGAACTAGAGAGAAAGACAGATAGAGAGAGAGTGAGAGTGAGAGAGATAGTGAGAGAAAGAGAGAGAGTATTAGAGTGAGAACTAGAGAGAAAGACAGATAGAGAGAGAGTGAGAGTGAGAGAGATAGTGAGAGAGAGAGAGAGAGTATTAGAGTGAGAACTAGAGAGAAAGACAGATAGAGTGAGAGTGAGAGAGATAGTGAGAGAGAGAGAGAGAGAGAGAGAGAGAGAGAGAGAGGCACAGGCCTCTCTGTGTCTGCGATCAACACACACGTCACACACATCAGTCGTCTGATTATTTCTTATTCACTGGAAAAGAAGACTTTATTTAAGAAATTTACTCATATTTATTATTTAATATCCAATCAATTAATTTGCATTAATACTTTTACAAATTATTATTATTATTATTATTATTGTTGTTATTATTATTGTTATTATTATTACTAGTAGTAGTAGTATTACTATTTATGTATTTATTTTGAATTGCATCATATATTGTTATTAAAATCCATCTTGTATCAATAACTACAATATAATTACATCACTAAGCGATGGATAAACTCCTGTTCTGTATCAACTATAATTTATTCAGCAACTGTTATGAATTATTCAGTATCTACTATGAATTATTCAGTATCTACTGTGAATTATTCAGTATGAATTTCTGTGTAAGTTCTGTATTTATATGAGAAGACCTGAATTTTACACACAGAGCTCTTAAAAACTACTATCAATATCATCAGTATTTATAGTAAAACATCCAGAACTGAAAACACCTCTCCAGAATTGACCCCCTGACCCCGCGGACTCGACCCGACCTGAGCGTGAATCGATTCGGGGTGACTGATGTTCATCAGTGCGTGTGATAAATGGATCTGTGAGCACAGAAACAGCACTAATGCTGAAAACTCAGAGATTCAGAGCATCAGGCCACTCAGCGCTGCACATCAGCTCACGTCCTGTAAGTGCTGCTCACTTCTGCGGCTAATGTAAGAAAATTCCAGTAAAAGCTCTCGATCCCCACCAAAATCACCAAAGCCGTTTATAGCAATCAAAGTGCAGCGCTGGCAGGAGCGCCGAGGGCTGACAATACCGCGCCGAGCTCTCCTCTGTTTACTGAGCCGGGGAGTGCAGGCTTCCCTCAAACGCTGCTATTCAGAGTCATTCAGTCATATTCAGATTTTTATTTATTGTTATTCTCAAGTACAACTATTTTTGTGTTTAATTTGAGACAGAACCACTGGCTTAGCTTAAACCACCAATAATAATCAGCTAAACGACTAATAAATCACAGTAATTTAGCTTTGTGTCTAATACAGTATCAGACTTTAGTAACTGTGTCAGATCTAACTAATCCGACTGAGAATATGAATAATTCTTCATTTTCCAGGAACACAGACACAGCAGCTCTTCATTAACTCTAGAGCTGCTGATCATGTGTCGTTAGCTAACGTGGCTAATGTGAGTCAGTGTACAGCTGCAGAGAAACTCTGACTGAACCTCATTACAATAAAACGTGTCGTAACCCATAGGACTATTTTTCATTAAACAGCTTACGACTCAGTTACACAAGCTCTTTTAACTTAAGCACTTTTCTTCATTCATTTCATTTATTATGTCCTATTTTGTCCCCAAATGTTTGTTACTGTTCTAAAACACGAGATCTATGATGAACGATGTAGAACAAAGCAGTACAATATGAACAATTCAGCATTTATGCATTTCTATACTATCTGACTGTCTGTCTTTATATCTGACTGTCTGTCTATCTATCTGTTTGTCTGTCTGTCTATCTGTCTGTCTGGCGTCTATCTATCTATCTATCTGTCTGTGTGTCTGTCTATCTATCTATTTATCTACCTGTCTGTCTGTCTGTCTGTCTGTGCGTCTATCTATCTATCTATCTATCTATCTATCTATCTGACTCTCTGTCCCTCTGTCTGTCTGTCTATCTGGCTGTCTGTCAATCTGCCTGTCTGTCTGTCTGCCCATCTATCTATCTATCTTTCTGTCTGTTTATTTATATGTCTGTCTGTCTGTCTATCTGTCTGATTGTCTGTCTGTCTATCTATCTATCTATCTATCTATCTGACTGTCTGTCTATCTGCCTGTTTGTCTGTCTGTCTGCCCATCTGTCTATCTGTCTATCTATCTAT